TGTCTTTCTCACTATAAATCAGTCTAAGGCAAGAGGTCCTATCCCTTGCAGGTATGATACGCCGTGTTCGACGCTCTCGTCTCAGGACGGCACCCGGAAAGTGGTCTAAGTGGTGTTTCTGCGACAATTGTAGGAAAGCGCATACAGGGGAAACAGGGAGGTGAAGATCTTTTTTACTTTGCCCCAACCGTCACATATCGTACATCCCCTCAAGCGCCCGCGATCCTCTTTCATCCCGACCAAATCTTCTCGGTTATCGCTTCGCCTTGATTTTCCTATCCTGCATGCTCACCGAAGCACCCCGATCCGCCGAGCTCGTCGAGCGCCGGGAATGTGCATTCTACTCAACATCTATCCTCTTCCATCACAAGACGAAGATTGCGCGAAGAGCGATATCCAAGTCCCTCGAGCGTATGGACGCCGAAGAACGAGAGCGGTGGCTTGACTGAAGGTCAGTCTCGTTCAGGTATATTTCATTCGAGACTGTCCACGGTTGAGAGGAGGGATAGAGTACTAGTATACGGCACTTCCTGCAGGAAGTCGAAGGGGTAGTTCACGATCCGATGGGCAGATCCGGGTGGTATCCACCTCATCCTAGGATCCGTCCTCGCGCGGCGATTGACACCGCCGGAATTAAGCGCCGTGGACCCAATGTAAGCCCCGATCTGCTCAGGCTCCGTACGCCTGCACTTTGGTCAAGGATCCTTATATCAATCCCTTTAAATTGTTGAAACAGCGGCCCGTGGGAGATGTAACCTCTTCTTGGTGAGCTTTTCTTGCTAAATCACCTAAACGCTGCTCAGGCAAGAAACTCGCTAGCGCACGCCTACGGGGTGCGTCGGCCAGCGGACTGATTCCTATGAATATCAAATAGTGCCAAGAGCCTTATGTATAGACTTGCAAAATTAGATGAACGTTTGAGTATACCTCGCTAATAGGAGTCGGGGACTGGCGCCGGAGCGGCGCCACTACGATATTATACTGTTATACACCTACAAACTGAAAAGGAATGGAAGGAAAGGGCTCTTCCTAGAACACTGCTAATTTCCAACAATATTCCCGACAATCTCTTTCATCTTATCGAACCCTTCTTGAGAAAGAATGTCGATATTCCAGGCCCCCTCGAGAAAATTGCGAGGAAGAGTGCGGCCAGGGCTTGGGCGGTTGTCGAACACAGGCTCAACGGCACCGGTAGCAACATCGCCACAGTAAACGCGCAGAGACGTTCCGAGCAAGCTCAATCCCCACAAGCGAGGCAAGGGGCAATCGTCAAGCATGGAGTCGTACCGGTGACGTATTTGATCATCTGCTTTGAACCGTAGGTCGGCTCTGGTGGCCCAGGCGTCGTCTTTGATTTCTGCGATGAGTACTGGGCGACGTTGAATATCGAAGACGATTAAAAATACGGCGAAATCAACGGTGTCGCGGGGAGAGAATTCCCTGGGAGGGCTTTGGGGAGCGATAAAGAACTCGAACGAGTCGGGGTTAAAGCAGTACGTGAGCAGCTTGTTGTATGGCCCATAATAACGATTTTCGAGAGGCTGGAGCTCATGGCGACATATCTCGAAGATCTTGAGCAGGCCAGCAGGCCAAGCGGCATCAGTTGGGAACGGCATGCTGAGGGACAACGATGTTAGCGACTGTGGATACAGTGCGTGCTATTAGAACCCATACATGATGGTGGTGGGACCGAAGGAACAAGCTCCCCATTTGCCCCTATTTGGCGGCAATTTCAGGCTCCACCTTTGTTTGCGTTGTTCAAGTTCCCTATATTGGAAGCCTCGGCTTGACGAGGACGTCCCGGAAATGAGAATCGCGACTCAAGGCACACGATTCAGCTGAGTCGTGGCCTAGTCTTCTGACCGCTGGAGACGATATGGGGAGTAAAGGGACGCCGCCGACATACTAGCAAGTGACGCACTAAGTAGTTCGAGACGGAAATAGAAACGAGAGATTCGGCCACTTTCTAAAAATAAATATATACTAGTTATATGCCATAAAATCCAGAAAATGAATATTTTGATGATTTTATTACCGGGCATCGACTTCTCCAAAACCCACATAAATTCATGCACAGTATTACGTGGAAGGTCATTCTTTCAAAGCAAACAGTTAAGTCCTTCATGGTGTTCCAAGGTGTATCATTGGCCGGTGGATGACTGTAATGTTTAGTGGGACGAAATCCAACACCAACTAGGGGTCCTCATCCAGTCCTACTACAGATAAGTATTTCGTTCTCCAGTCAATTTTTCTGAGGGTGGTTGTACCAAGCGGTTGGGATGTACAGGAATCCAGCTCGGTCTTCGAGTATAAGCTCAAAGCAGTACTAAGCACCAATTGTAAAATATCCAAGTCTTCAAGCTCTTGTCAAACTTAAACTACCTCGGAAGATTCGGAGGAATGTCACTGAGTTTGCCCGCCCATGGGATGCAAGTTGGACAGGTTGGCCAGGACCATCTGATCTGCAGAGCGGGAGACCTCAAATACCTTTATGCAGTTATTCCCGAAGGGCAGAATACTTAGTCTGAAAATACCACTTCTCCTACGCCTCACGTATGATTCTGCCACAGGTTGCTAAAGGTAAGATCGAGGGACCAATGAACACATCTTGTCGAGCATTTAGGCAGTTTGCAATCGACAGAAGTAGAACACCAGCGGGCTACGCGAGATAAAACGGATGTTGCTACAGAGTTGGAAAGTCGTACAACATGTAGTACACTAAGGATCCATGGCATGAGATGCTGATTCTACACACGAGGTCATAAATCTGTTGCAGAAGTCTTGGGGTTCCAAGCAGAAGACTACAGGACGCTTGGGAGAAGATTAGGGTCGCTAATAATCTTGGACTCGTCTTGGGGTTTTGACCACTTGTCTGAAAAGAATGTGCTTCGTTTAATTCGATTGTACAAAGTGCGGCTTGACGAGGACGAACCTGGGCAGGCGACGAAGTAGCCTTCTAACGCACTCACAAAGCGCTCCTGATACTCAGCTGGGGGTACAACCGTGATCTCCTTCCCGGACTGGAGGCCCTGCTTGGCCTTGTACTCCAAGGTCTTAGCAAAGGTGTAACTCCCTATAAATTCGTCAGCACCTTTCGGAGCGGCGATTCATAGTCATACCTATTGTATCGACAAGGCCACAAGCAATCTGTTTATTCTCCTCGTCAACACCGAGAAGGAGGCTATACGACATTAGAAGCCGCCCTCGCCAATAGGATCAACGTGACGTACGAATAATCCATGATATTGCTCTTTGCTAGGAATTCAGCATCGCTCTTGATGGCATCGCGAAGGATAACCTTCGAGTACGGGCGGACGAGCGTAAGCGTGCGCTGTTGACCTACAAAAGTGTTAGAAAGATTCAGGTGTTAGTTTGCCATATGGAAGGCAGCAAGCAAAATACGCACCCTCGATCCATTCACCATCGAAAAGAGTCTTGGTTGTGCCATTCCCTTGGGTTTTGATCTTCCGTCCCTGAATGCCCTTCAGATCGAATGTCTTGCTGATATTTTGACCGAAGAACAAATTCTCCATGACTAGAAGATCCGCCTTTGACTGAACGTTGCCCGTCTCCAAATTCCTGACTTCGATTGTGTAGAAACCAATCAACTTCGCCAGGACAGTCGGCTTGCTCGCTGTAGCATCCATATACCGGAAATACGAAGGGGCATGATCTATCAGTACTTGTCTAGCCCGAGGAGATGTAAGCATTCGCCGAACGGCCAGATATCGAGAGCAAGAAATAATGCTCACAGATCCGCCACATTCCAAGCATTAACCAGTGTCTTGATGATGAACCTATCGTCACTCGTCTTCCAGAAATTCGACCTACTCTTCCCTCCTTCCGCCGTCCAATTCGTCGACCTCGACAGGCTCTTCAGGAACACATCGTGAATTCCACATCGCCGCCGAAGCGCATCGAACTGCTTTGCATAGTACACCGTGCAGCTAAACTTGATCCGCTTGCCGATGGTCCAGTCATACTTGATGTGTGGGCGTTCATCGATAATACCCATGTCCGCGAGCAATAGGTTGTGGTGTTTCTTGGGCGGGTTCGTAGCCGCTGGAGAGACCGTACGTGAAGGTAGCTCGGCGCTCAGTACATACCGCACGGCGGATCCGATCCCTGTCGCCAGGACACTTGCAAAGCCCGAGGACGTGGGGGGCGGGGCCGATGCTGATGCCACTATCTTCGAAGGAGGCGGTAGCGCTGTGTCAGAGCTAGCTACGACTTCCTTGTCATTGCTGGCCGCCTTCTCCTTATCAGCCTCTTTTGGGCCGTCATCCTTCGGCGGCAGAGGCGGCGGCGGCAGTGAACTAGGTTGCGGCTCCGCCGACTCGGCCACTTTATCCTTCTCCTTCCCAATCGTCTTCTGACTGTCCCGGCTCTCCGTCGAGATGATCGACGAGGCCTTGCCCCTCCGTATATGTGCATTCCCAAACGCCATGCTCGAGGGCAGCTCTGACTTGATAGAGGCAGGACGAGAATGTGTTGGCGTTTCATTCTCCAACTCCTGCAGTATCTTACCCGCAGCGTCCGTTGACTCCTGCCCGTTGAGTTGCCCACCAGCAGATTCCGTGCTCAGCCCGACATTAGGCTTGACTTTGACGAACGCAGAGGGAGGTGCACTTGTTCCTGGGGCAGAGTTGGTGGCCACATTGCTTCGCGACGCAGTGGCAGCACCCGACTGCTCAGACGCCGTTTTGTTTGGGCGCAAAACGTCTCTGATGGAGACAAACGCCGTTGGATCGCGTCCGTAGTCCTTCCTCGAGATGACAGCGGAATACTGTTCGGGTTCATTCCAAACCACGTCCTCCTGGTCGGGATCCGGTTGGGTCTTGGCCGATAGGGAAAAGAGTTTGTAGCTCGTTGCAACAGAGAAGAACGATGAAGATGAGTTGGGTGGTTCGGCAGCGGGGGTATTGGTGGTGGATTGCGTGCCTGTGCTGGTAGTACGAGCCACCGACAAGTTGGCCATCTCCATCTGATAGTCGGTCGTACTGTTCCGAAGGGCATTAGTTTCGTGATATCAGTAGAAATTGAGACATACCTTAATGTATGCGCAATGATACTGCCCCAATCGTACTCTCTCACAATAATGTTCCCTGTCGGGACAACATGACAGCCTTTGCCCCACCACTCCGGCTCCTGCGCAATCAAATCACCAACCGTCTTCGCTTTCGCCGCTCCCAAATGTTTTGCCTGCCACGCCTTCAGCCTCTTCTGCGTCCCTCGTCCTGTAGCGATGAACGACCGCCGCACATCATTCAGCGCCGACTCGGGCGTCCTCGCCAGCTGGGCGTAGAGCGACTGCTCTATCCGCTGGAAGTTATGGCGGAGAGTAGCGAGCAGCTGTTCCGAGTTGTCTTTCGGCGGGATTGTCGGTGCCTTGGACGCTTGGGTGTCAGTGCTCATGTTGGAGAGGGTAGTAAAGTAGGAGTCCTTTGGCACACCATCTTTTGGCGTGTCAAACGAAGGAGAGTTGGGTGCTGTTGGTGGCAGAGGAGGTAGAGGGAATGGAGTAGAGGCCGTAGGGGTGGTGGCGCCGGAGTGTTGAGGTGAAGAATCGAATACGTCGTACGCATCGTCAATCGAAGGCAACCTAGGTAGCGATTTTTGACCAGGCGTGTCGTTGTTCAAGACGAGTTCCTTCAGCCATTTTCAGACGTCGAAAGCATGGTGAACAGTTGAAGGATACGCACGATTTTATCAATATGATCAGCTACGCCCTCCCACCACTTCCTAATTTCCTTCCTCAGAATCTTCTTCTGGTTAGGCTCCTCCTCCGACTCACTGTCCTCCTGCTTCCTGCCTGCACTAGACTGAGGGGGGCTCGGCTTCTCTACGCCACGCGTAATTTGGAGCCGAGGAGCCCGAATCTCGAAGATATCCTCGATGGTCGACAAAGCAAGGGTGATGTCCGTAGAGGCAGTTGAGAAATGTCGGATGATGTTGAATCTGGAAGGTGGCAGAGCTATCGATGTTGATAGAGGTGTGGTGTGTTCACAAAGTGGCGAATCCAGGGTGCAGATGAAGGGCGAGTGGATCAACAGTTCGAGGTACTTTGCGAAGGAGAAAAGACTGAGGATTGAGGAGTCCCTAAGATAAATTCACCGATGGACTTGCAAAAAAACTCACTATGCACCGTCACTGAGCTTCGTCCTCTTCGTGCTCGCATTGCAAACAGCACAACTCTCCCAAACCCTCACATCATCCTCTGTACTTGGCTTCTCCTCTTCCTCCTCCTTGCCGTCCTCTGTCATCTTGTCATCCTCGCCCACTCTGATGACAATGCGAATGCCATCATGGATTATCCTCTGCTCGTGCTGCCCCTTGAGGAACGTACATCCAGGCCTGCTACAGGGCGAATTTCTGCCCTTGGCAGTGTCAAGTACCCACTCCCCCAACAGTTGATCGTCATTAGGGTTCGACGAGAAATAGCGGAACGTCAGCCAATGTGGCTTTCCACATGGAGAGTGGCCGACTGAGGGTCGGTTTGACAGAGTCCCTAGTGTAGAGATGGTGGCAGCCGTAGAGGTCGTGGCATTGGTGAATGTAGAAGAGCCAACTTGAACCTTTTCCGGCTCGGAGGGTTCCGAGGTCGTCGTCGACGAAGAAGGGGTTGGCGGATGAGAGATGGTACCAGTCGGGGTAACGGTCGACGGCGGAACATGCAATGAGCACAGAACAGATATCTCCTGCTGCCTCACAAACCCAAGTATGCCAGACATCCCTCTGCCCTCCGCATCCTTCCCATCCCACCCTAGAAGGCTCGTCAGCGCCGCCCTCTCGTCGCCCTTCAGCCTCCTGCTTTGTCCAGGACGGTGGCCATCGGCTAGCGCAGCCCTAGCCTTCTCCTGGTCCGCCAAATCCACGATTAATTTCGGCAGCCTCAACGACACGCCTGCAGACGTCGACAGGAGGTCCTTGGACCCTTCAATGCGTTTCAGGGCGTTGACGAAGGGCTGCGAGGGTGGCTGCTCTCGCTTCTCCTGCGTGAGGTGCAGGGACTTGCGTAATGAATGACGCCGGTCACCTATGAATGAAAACCGGCGTAGCCGCAGATTGCTGACCAGGCCATGCACGCCTTCTGCTGGTTTGTGAGGAGGTTCCTCGGCTGCGGAGGATGACGGTGGAAGGACGGTCAGGTCCAGAGAGCCTCTGCGGTCTCCGGCGACACTGATAGTCTGAGCACCGCGGTAGCTGAGGTTTCGCTTCAGAAAGAAATTGGTGAAGCTGGATGGAATGATGGTATTCCGGGCCTTTATTCGCACTTGTTTGGGTTCTTGGGGCGCTCCTGCAGATGGCGAAGTTGGTGTTGAAGGAGAGGGTGGAGGCATTTTGGGCCTTGGGAGCTTGAGCGGAACCCCAGAAGCTGCTAACAGGTTCTGTTCCAGAACTAACGAAAGATGGACGAATATTGCAAGCTTGAGAACCTTGAACAGAAGATGATGTTGCACGGGAGTATTGACTCCCTTGAACGCGAATGTTCCTCCTACCAGACGGAGATTGGTATCGAGCACATTGACTGGCACATTACCGTCAGTACGTCCTTCGCGATGCAAAGAAACCAACGCTGACCTTCTAGCCCATCCAAACCGTACAAAACCGTCCCAACTTCGTCTTGCCCTGGGTCTTGCAACGAGAAGCTGCCTGGGGAGAACGCGCAGCCAATGTTGGCAGGAACCAGGTCGAATCCACTATCTTCCGCGGGCAGCGGTATTCGACTTCCATGGGGTGCGAGACAAAGTACTAAGTGGCCTGCGCGAAGTTCCTCGTGCGATGGTGGTCGGGCAGCCAATTGACGGAGTTGTTTAAGAGGTGGTTCCGGGGTGGAAGGTAATGGCTTTACGGCAAGAGCGGATTCCGACGCTGTCTCTTCTTTGTGGGAGTCGTTACTACTCCTCTTCTGGACCTTCTCTATAGCAGCTGGTCTGGAATGCTTGTCCGCTTCCTCTTGTGCTCTCTTCCGCTTCAGCTTCTTTCCACGTTTGATGCTGCTCAGCCAATCCCCAGAAGAGATGTGGAGACTCAGTTCGTCCAATACCTCTTCGAGAACATACGCCCATCCGTCGCGTCGACTCTCGAGTGCTGGTTCGTGGATGTCGCTTAGGAAGTGCCGAATCAGTCGGGCACGGTGGTTTCGCGCGTCCACTGAAAGTGTTGTTGTTTCGCTGCTTGGCGGCAGCGCGGGGAGGGGTTTATGGTTGGCCATGACTCAGTTCTACTGAACTTTGGGTGTTCCAGGACATGGGCAGCATAGAGCTGCGGCGGTTCGAGGAGAGATCATGCATATGCATAGCGTCATGGCGATAAACGCGCACTGTTCCGGCCTCCAAGGTCCCATAAATGGTTGCCCCTCCGTCCGTTCCTGTTCACCAGGATGACAGTTGGCAGATTTAAAGGGCCTGTAATGACAACGAGTCCTTTAAGAGAGCAATAGGACATTTAGTACACTGTGCGCTCCAGTGGTATCGATGAAAAAGCTACAAGCTCTCCAAGTCCTGGACGGGGAGCGAGCCTGAAGAGCCGGCACAAACTCCGCCGGGAACCGAGCGAAAAAGGCTAATAGCACCGAGCCGGCAGCTACTGCCGCCGAGGCACCGTTGTGTCAGGACACGCCTCTCCTTCTCTTCCACCACGACCATTTACACTCTTTCTCCATACGCGGAGGATCATGGGGCCCACCGTGTCTCGGACAGCAGGACCCACGACCTGTCTATCGTGTTCGAACTTCGTAATACAATGCCTCTGGGCGTTCTTGTGATGGGTCATTCTACCTGGCTATGTTGGAGATGCGGACTGTGCATTTAGTCATTCCTCCATTGGTCGGAATGCAATTGTGAGTGTACCGTCTCCTGTGTCATAGCGATCTATGATATCCGTCGTGCTTGTTCTGTTCTTCCTAGACTTGTGACCACTCCAATGACTTCTTCAAAACCCTGCTTTTGCTCGAATTACTAATCATACACCCCAATTTCCCTGGACCATCCCAGCATTTCCAATTCTGCCGACATCTCCTTTCTGTGGCGCTCTGGTGGGACTCGTTTTCGTTCCAAAACTATAGAACTTTGCGCTCTCTAGGTCAATTTTCTCATGCTTTACCCCGCTATTCTCACCCCCGTTGAGATTAGAAGTCTCGAAGGCTTTCGTCGACCAAGAATAACATGGGAGAAGACACATAGGGTATCTTCCACGGAGCCGTGCCTCGCTTCCTCCTGGTCCGAGCTTGCTCCTTTCCACAGCAATTGGACGATTGCGATGCTACGGTCTTGGCTTCTTCACCTCGCCGAGCAAACCTGCAAACGACCTCTCGGTATAGACGTTGCTTCTTCGTCCATTATAAGGGCGCTCCTCCGCTCTTTCTCAGACCACACGCATGACTTCGCTGCCCAATGATCGGACACCCGTTCGCGTTTGTATTCGTTCGAAGTCGTCCGAATAAGTAATAATTCTCCACCCCACCACTCCATCAATTCCCAATCCTCCAATGCAGCTCATCTCCAATCTGCCAGTTCCACTCGTAATCTCGATGTCCTAGGTCAGCTGGCAAATCCCTATCACTTTCCTAGTTATTTTCTCTCAGTGACGCAGGGCCCAGGAATCTAGAAGGTCGGCATCCTAAGCCCATGCATCGCATGGTTATCAAGCTTTGAGTTAGAAATACCCTCTTGCTCACCATAGAGATTCCTTCCCCGCGGTTTAACGTCATCTGACAGAAGTCACGGTGCTCGATAGCTCGCCGCTCCTGGTCAGAAACCCACTTAGAACCCCCAATTGGATTCTTCTCCCGAATGTATTCATCAGAACTGCTTTGGCAGCATATATAAGACCCAAAAAACGACGTTCCCTCCCTTCATTGAGCTCCCCACAGTTCATTCTCCTCTCCCCACCTACTCAATTGACCTTCTGACATCTTTTCCAAGTCTTCTTATTTGCAATGGGTCATCCTGATGAAGTCGACGTCATTGTGTGTGGTGGTGGTCCCGCTGGTAGGCAGCATTTTCTCCTCTTCATCGTCTGCTTTTATTTATCGTCTTTTCTCGTCCAGGATGCGTCGTTGCTGGTCGTTTAGCCTATGCCGACCCCAGTCTCAAGGTTATGCTCATCGAAGGTAGGCGCCTCTCCTTAGTTAATTGATATTGAAGCTAACCTCGCCACATATAGGCGGTGCAAATAACCGCGATGATCCTTGGGTCTACAGGTGAGTCTCAAGTCTGTAGTGCATCCCGTCGGGACCTCTTCTCATCGCCACTTCCAGGCCCGGTATATATGTCAGGAACATGCAACGCGATGGAATGTAAGTCGCCGAGGGCTTGTGGTTGGCTAGACCCGCTCATTGGCTCGATCGCTTCCCCAGAAACGACAAGGCCAAGTTCTACACCGACACAATGAAGTCTTTACACCTTCGCGGCAGGCAGAGTATTGTCCCGTACGTCCTTCCTTCCTCTCCTCACCCAATGGGTGCTCGCTACTGCTCTCTAATCACACCCCGCCGCTTAACCCAGGTGCGCCAATATCCTCGGTACGTATAAACTACCCGCCAGCCTATTATAGAACCCAGAACCTGATTAATCCAACGCCACAACGTCTGCGACTGAATAGGTGGCGGCAGCAGGTGGGTGCTACTCCCTTATACAGCCTTGGAGCTGCCTATCTAATATCTGCTCGACAGCATCAACTTCCAGGTCAGTTTTATATTGCCTTGGCTGGGATTTACGTTGTCCTCATCCTATGTTTGTGTGTGCTATAAATAGATGTATACCAGGGTGAGCCAATCATCTTCGTTCTTCGAGAAGACACTGACTAAGGTGGATTACGTAGGCTTCTGCCTCTGACTGGGGTGAGCGTGGTGTCGTCCTGAGTAGACACTGAGGGCTGACGGTGCGGTTAGATGACTTCAAGACTCCTGGTTGGACTGCCAAAGGTATGTCGTATTGTAGTCCCCCTGATGCGCGGCGCTCACGGCAATATTTCTAGACCTCCTGCCGTTGATGAAGAGGGTAAAACATCACTCTAAGCAAACGACTTCCAATTTATTTACCTCTACTCATCTAGTTGGAGAACTACCAGAAGCCCACCAACAATGATTTGCACGGCTATGACGGCCCGATCGCCATCAGCAATGGTGGAACCATCACCGGTCTCGCTCAAGATTTCCTGAGGGCCTCTGACGCTGTCGGCATCCCTTTTACCGGTACGCAGCTCTTTTTCCTGACGTCTCGCCCTGGGAATGTGGTACTGACCATACTCCTCGTCTAGACGATTTGCAGGATCTTGACACCTCCCATGCCTCTGAAATCTGGGCCAAGTACATCAATAGGCATACTGGAAGGCGCAGCGACGCTGCCACTGGTAAGCGAACGATCGATTCCCACTGCTAATCTTCTCTGACAATGAATTTCCCTCTTCCAGCCTACGTCCACAGCGTCATGGACGTCCAGAGTAACCTCTATCTGCGCACCAACTCGCGTGTCTCTCGCGTCATTTTCGAGGGCAACAAGGCTGTCGGAGTCGCCTACGTTCCGGCTCGCAACCGCGCCAACAACGCGCAGGTCTTGGAGACCATCGTCCGTGCACGCAAGTGCGTTGTCCTCTCCAGCGGCACCCTCGGCACGCCCCAGATCCTCGAGCGCTCGGGCGTCGGCAGCAAGGATTTGATGGGGAAGGTTGGCCTGAACTGCGTTAGCGACCTTCCTGGTGTCGGGTTAGTATTACTTCTTTGGTAGCACTTCGGCGTTGTGGGGTTGGCTGACATACTCGTCTTTTTCTTTCTTCCCCTTCTCTCAGCGAGCAATACCAAGACCACTACACGACCTTGTCGGGTAAATCTCTTTCGGTTGGGATATCTTCTCTTCCGCTCCTAACTGATTGTGATGACAGTCTTCCGTGTCTCCAATGAGAGCCAGACCTTGGACGACTTCCTCCGTGGCGATAAAGAAGCCCAAAGGGAGGTGAGAACACACTGTCGCCACTGAGTGATTGGTAACTCATTCATCGCTAATTTTTAAGCTGTTCAACGAATGGGAAATCAGCCCCGAGAAAGCTAGGCTCTCTTCCAATGCGATCGATGCCGGCTTCAAGGTCAGTTGAGTCTTCTTCAAAGAAGCTAAAAACGTCACTAATCTTTGATCAAAGATTCGTCCCACCGAGGCCGAGTTGAAGGAGATGGGTCCTGAGTTTAACGCTCTTTGGGACAAGTACTTCAAGGACAAGCCCGACAAGCCCGTCATGTGAGTCGTTCGCCTGGTCTTTCTCTGTTCGAGCGCTGACAACTTGGATGTATTCTGTCAGGTTCGGCTCCATCGTGTCTGCAGGTGAGAGATTAGGTTATCACCATGATGACCGACTGAATCTAATCCGCCGTCTACAGCCTACGCTGATCACTCCCTCCTGCCTCCCGGCAAGTACATGACGATGTGAGTTGCATAATCTCCTCCGATAGACGGAGCGCGTTTACAAATACCCGTCTACCTTCTAGGTTCCAGTATCTTGTGAGTATTTTGGGAACAATGCCATGTCTTTGGTTTCGGTCACTTGACATTGCGCACAGGAATACCCAGCTAGTCGTGGCAAGGTGCGAGCGCCCGTCTCCGTCTCCCACTTGCTTTGGAGCTCACAAGGTGGTATCTGTCAGATTCATATCAAGTCGCCCAACCCGTACGATGAGCCGTTCTTCGATAGCGGTTTCATGAACGACAAGGCCGACTTTGCCCCCATCCGATGGAGTTACAAGAAGACTCGTGAAATCGCCAGGCGGATGGACGGTACGCCTATCACGTCTTTAATCCGTCGCTTCGAGTACTGACTAGTATGGTAATAGCGTTCCGTGGGGAGCTGACTTCTCACCACCCGCACTTCCACCCCGATTCGCCGGCTGCTTGCCGCGACATCGATATCAGGACCGCGAAGGAGATGATGCCAAACGCGTTCACAGTCGGAATCCATATGGGTATGTTGTGCGGAGCCTTTCCGCTCTAGAAGGAAGTCTAACGCCAACTCGTCTTCCTCCAGGTACCTGGCATCGGTAAAGCGCCTTTACTACGCGAGACAAAAGACAGTTGACCCACAACGTCACATTTAGCCCAGGTGAGCCCTACAACCCCGACAAGGTGCACGAGGACATCAAATACACCGAGGAGGATGATAAGGCTATCGATGACTGGGTTGCAGGTCCGTATGATAAGTCGTGTCAAAGATGACACCGTCTTAGCTCATTATTTTATCACTTTTGTTTTCCAGACCACGTTGAGACGACCTGGCACAGTCTTGGTAAGATCCCTGCTAGGCTAAGCTTGATTTTTTTTTACTAACACCATCCTATTTCCCCAGGCACTTGCGGTAACCATTGAGATCGATCGTACGTCTGCATGCAGCTCATGAATTGCGTCACTAGCCATGAAGCCGAGGGAGGAGGGTGGCGTTGTCGACGGCCGCCTTAACGTTTTCGGTAAGGCGGAGATTCCCATGTGCGAGAGATGTCGGGTTCTGACATATTTCCATATCATAGGAACCCAGAACCTGAAGTGTGTTGACTTGAGTATCTGCCCTGTAAGCACCTGTCTTCTTGACGCCGGGGTTCAACGATTGACCCTATCGCACACAGGACAATTTGGGCACGAACACGTACTCGTCGGCCTTGCTTGTTGGTGAAAAGGGTGCAGATATCATCGCAGAGGAGCTAGGTAAGAAGAGGATTTCGCGAGCTTCGGTAACTTGTTAACACCTATTATATTAAAGGCCTTAAGATCAAGACGCCCCACGCGCCTGTGCCTCATGCCCCCATCCCTAAGGGTGTTCCGGCCACGCAGCAGGTTCGTTGAGCGTTGAAATTTTGCGACCTTCGAGGGAATGTGGGCTGTCAACAAGTCTGGTGAATTCTGATCGACCAATGTATATGTACTTATGAATATCGCGTGTAACATCTCTTGTTCTTGAATGAATTCGTCTTCTTGACGTACATTGTATAAGACGCTTCTGACGCATGATTTCAATTATCGCACAAATTGAATTACATTTCCCCACACTCTGCACAGCTAGTCTTATCAGTGGACGTGTGTGGTGGGGTGAAGGGCGCTCCGCACCTGTAATTTTCACCACTAGCTTGGGCCTGTTGTTGGCACCCGTTGGCACATTCTCGATTTTCCTCAACGTTAGCATGCCGTCAATGACCTTCCCGAAAACAACGTGCTTTCCATCCAAGAAGTCGCATTTTGCGGTCGTTATGAAGAACTGAGAACACGAAGACGCGACGATCATAAAGCCTCGACAGGTGGATGTGTGGTTCCGCACTTACTTGACAGCCATTGGTGTTGGGCCCTGAATTCGCCTAGCGTTGACACCTCGTCAGCAGAGTTTGAGAGAAAAGAGGATGACAAGCTAACCATTGACAGCAGGCCCGGGCCCGAGTGTTTTTCCTGAAAATTTTCGTCCTATGAAAATCGTAGGTTAGTGGGCGCAGTGATGGCGACGATTGGATAAATTACCGGAAATTTGTCTCCGTAGATCGAGAAGGAGCCTGTCCCGTCGCCTTTTAAGAAATCACCACCTGCGAGTCCAGAAGATCAAGGGGAAGTTCATTTGATGATAGTTGGGGCCGGACTTGCCTTGACACATGAAGTTTGGCACCCTGCAACGCTAAAGTGAGCTGCAGGCCTTTATAATGACGGACGTAGGCTCACACTCTGCGCGGCTAGTCAGCAAGCATGGGTACAATTCAATCAGTAACTTGCCTGTGGAAAGTCGCCGCCTTGTAACCCTGCGGTCTTGAGTTCAGGCTGGGGTGACGTTAGTACCCGAGAAAGAGGGTTTTGTCTGGACATCGGCGCACCGATATTCGCCTGTACATAGCTGCCTGAAGTTTTCTGCGGTTCTGTCGATCTCTGCCAATCAGACCGGTTGAACAGTGGTACCAAAGATGCAATGTACTGACTTCGGAACGATATCACTGAACAACTCCATTTTGAGCCTCCCTGCTGGCGTCTCCCCGATGTTGATATCCATGAATACGATAGGGCGTGTTGTAGAGGACATGTCTTAAAATCGAGGTTGTAGTAAGAAGTCAAGCTCAAGGCGTGGGGACCATTTGCCCAAGTCGTCTGATGGGATTCGCCGTCGGTCTCTTCCTGCCCATAACCTGCCCACAACCACCACATGTCGAATCAAGCCCTTCGTTCTTAAATACCCTCATGACTGCCATCATGTTGTCGTTTTTTGATACGCCATGAAATAGTGCACAAATGCACCCTGAAGAATCCTTGCAAAACTTTCGTCCACTCCGATTCTTGAGGAACAACTGCAAGGAGCTTTTCCTAGTTTTGAGAGTTGGAAGCGGGTGCTATCCACAGAGTCGTGCAGGCGTTCTTACAGCGAGGCAAACGTCACTGGCTTTAGCCTCCACGTTTCCCCTTATTCGTGACTGAACATGGCAACCATTTGCTCTCGTGGGTTCATAGCCAACTTTCAGGGTGCGCAGGGATGTAAGTTCTTGGAAATTAAATGCAGCTGATTTTTGTTCTATTTTTCTTCGGACTCAGGATTGTATTCTTCTCCTGCAAGCGGACGTAAAATCGTGGCCCAAGAGTCCATGGCCCTGGCAGAAAGCTCCACGAAGAGTTACAGCGGCAGGCTCCTGGACAAGTCGGACGACAACGTTTCTGACGCGATTTCAATTGCTTACGCTTTCCTCCATGACGGCGCCCTTTGATATCGAATTGCAAGCGCGCCAAAATTCGTCAGCGATGATACGACTAGTGGGTCCAACAGTCCCATAGGAATCCCTCCGGTTGGGCGGGTTGTGTGCATCCATTGATTTTCCAACCTCAGTTGCATGATTTCGTCCGGTGTTCTTGGGCTCGCTCAAAAGAGCATACAGTTTAGGTGCGCCTTGTCCCGGGGCGCGCAACACCTTACTCGTCTTTATGAATGCAAAGTGGACCGCGCTTTCACTGAAATCTCTCAATCACTTCCGGGGTTACTGTCGCCTTGCCCATCAGAATTCTCGCCGTGTCGGGACAGCCTTGCCAGAACTTCGTCTAGATTGATCAGCTCATGCGGGACACCCTAGATCAGCAGGCGATACGATGGAAACTGGACCCACTGTGCTGCTGCTATACGACCCCGCCGCGTGCGCTTCTTTCTAACCTTGAAAAATCGGTGTGCAAATCCAGATCTAGGTATCAATGTTTTTGGTCGTTGCTCCGCTTGGTACTGCTTCCTTCAGGAACTGACCAGCACGAGGATGCGTACTATATAATTCACGGAAATCGGGATTAAATCCCCAGCAATCCCCTTCCCCGCTGTCGCGTTCCTCAACACTCAATGACCGCTGCACCACTCACTTTCACTCTTCCTGACCTTCTGGCGAATTTTCCTTGGAAGCGCAACTTAAGCGAATACTATCCCGAATGCAAGACAGAGTCCAGCGCATGGACTGAGTCCTTTCACCCGTTCGACGACGAGGGTCTCAAAGGGTTCAATCTCTGTGATTTCAGTACGTCCATAAGCCTATTTTTCACATCATCAGTTTTGTTTTACCACATAACCTTCATCCGTTGTCAGATCTGCTCGCTTCTTTGGCATATTCGCCCCGTGAGCGAGGTATGTTCTGGCTTTAGTCCTCTAAGTCCGGCCAGGCTGACGGATTTTCCTTTCCCTCCAGAGATCATCAGGCTCGGGTGCGATCTCATGAACATCTTCTACGTCTTCGACGAGTACACCGACATCGCGGACGGTGACGGTGCCGACAAAATTCGAGACATCATCATGGATGCTTTCCGTAATCCTCACAAGCCTAGGCCCGAAGGAGAGCTGCTAGTCGGCGAAATGGCACGCGAGTGCGTCGTGCTTGCTAAAATTGCTTGCCCGTTCATACCGCTTAACTGTCTCGCAGCTTCTGGATTCGGGCGTCCGGCTACGTGTCCCCCGACGCCCACTGCCTGACCCACTTTCTCCGTGATTTCGACACCTACACGGCTGCGGTCGTGCGGGAAGCCGACGACCGCGCCAAACGCGTCTATCGCACCTTCGAAGATTATCTCTCCATCCGCCGGGATTCCTCAGGCTGCCTGCCCAGCTTCGCGCTCTGTGAGTTCGGGCTTGACCTGCCCGAAGAGGCATATCACCACCCGCGAATGGCTGCCCTTCGCGAACAAAGCACTGATCTAATCGCTATCGGAAACGTAAGCCGTTTCCTTAACGATTCCGGCTCGGAGGGCGCTTGGTTGATTCCGTCTTTTTTTTCTTCTTGACAGGACATTGATTCGTACGCCATGGAGAAGGCACGCGGGCTGGAACTCCATAACTCCGTTGAGCTCATCATAAATGAGCACGGCCTTGATGTCCAAGGCGCTATCAACTGGCTCGAACGTTATGCCGCAGGGGTCCACGCATCGTTCCTCGACAACGTCGCGAACATGCCTTCGTGGGGCGAGGACGTTGATCGACGTGTCAAGATGTACATTGATGGCCTCGCGCAATGGGTCCGTGGTAATGATGATTGGACTTTTGAGAGCGGGCGCTATTTTGGCGACAAAGGCCTGGAAGTCCAGAAGACGAGAGTCATGTCCCTCCTGCCCGCTAGCAAGGTTTCGTTAAGAAGTCGGCCTAAAGCCGTCGGACACGTACCCAAGAAACTCTTAAGATATTTCCGATACTCTACGATGTATTTTTTTGGTTTTCATGTACTAGCGAAATGACTGATATCTGACACGGAATGTATATATATGTACCTACTCTATCTACTCAATTGCAGAACTTTCGTTTTCATCGGAACAACTCCTGATCGACAGAGTTTAGTTTGTTGATAAACTGTTGATAAGTAGCACATAGCCTCGGAAATTTTGAACTGCGATCGGAAAAAAAAGGAATCGCAAAATCGGCCCATAGGGGCAAGTGCAAACTCAACCCACGAAGCGATATTCATCATCATTGTACATAGTTCTCCTTCTTTGATTGTCCCACAGGTTTCCTTGAAGCGCCTCAACTGGCCAATCCGGCTTGAGGCTGCTCTTTATCTGCTCGAATGAGACCGTGTCGAAATACACCCTCTGCACCCAGGGAACCCCAGCCTGCAAGTACGGCTTGCGAACAAAGTCCAGGGTCGCGAGGAAGTCCGGCTTGATGCGCGTCAATGCGAGTTCCGTCAATGTTGGAAACAATGTTACCCCGGCTCGCCTAAATGCATCTTCGAACCCGACTTTGTACACGTCGGCAAGGACGAGGCGCGTTACTTGAGGAAAGCATGCGGATGCGAGAGCAAATATTTCCGCAGTGCTCGAGTCGGAAACCGCTAGCGTCAGGGACCATAAGAGGGGGAATCGTGGGCCGTCTGTGGTAACGGTATTGTAGAGCGTCTTCAAGTCTTCGGGGACAACTGGGACGATGACGAGTTCTTCGAGCCTCGGCGCCGATAAGGAGGAGAGGATTCGGGAAGTTAAATACATATCCCCTAGTATAAATAATGATTCAAGAAGAGGAACCTCAAGCGTGATGCCGGCGAAAGAGCTTGTAGGCCACGCGTTCAAGAAGTGGTCGTACAACGCAAGGAACACGAGATTTGGACACGATTCAAGGATTTCGGCAAATCGGCGAAAATCGATTGCTGGAAAGGGAGAGCTGATGTGCAGGGTGGTCACTGCTGCCAGTGGGGGTGAAAAGCGGAGGGCGGAACTCCCGCTCAAACGAAGGTCCAGGGGCCCAGTGGTCGTCTCCACAAGGAATAGTGGCACGAGATCAATTGGCGGGGGTTCGATGTCTTCATCGTCTGAATCCTCAAACATCCTGCTCGAGTTTGATTGATCATGAAAGGCGAAATGTGTAAGGTGTGGCATCGATATGCTGCTTAATGGTTCAAGGAGGTGGGAAAGGGTGCTACGACATCCCCAGAAAGTACCTTCGAACGTCAAGCTCCAGCAACGCGCGTAGTGAGGTGAGAGCACTTTGCGAAGCTCTTGGGTACTTTGCATCGATGGCGCTACAGATGTCTCTGACTGAAGCGGATGACGCTCCTTGTGAACCACGATGCGAAGTTCGAGTAAATGTTCTTTTGATCGTGCCAATTGTGTGCGTACGGCAGTGATATTCCAGGGAGGAGCCACGGTGATAGATGACCAAAGAAAGGCGTCATTGAGCGCCACATCTCGCCAAGGGCGAGATACCAAAGATGCGACGGTGGGGACGTTGACGTTGTGGCCTTGTCTGTCGTATGCGATGTCCAGGATGTAGGCCAAAACCTCTGCCGGAAGGAATGCGATGGGAGATTGACCACTCATGGAAAGTGTCGTCGTGTCCATTTCAAAAGGGTGATTCCCTATGATCGCGAGTAGATGGGGGCCGCTGCAAACCGAAGAGTCCTAGCACTTAGTAAAAAAAAAAGTTAGAGCTTCCAACGGCCAGACTTAGATTACTTGTGTTCGAAAGAATACCTCGGTCAGACTTCGCTATCTCTGCCCTATATTAGGACTGAATGACGTTGAACGTTTGAACTCGAAATTGTAATGTTGGGGTTGTTGGTCAAGTCGTTTTCGAACGAGCGAAAATGGTGTAAAGCGTGGGCAACATAGCCGGCTTCACCGGGCCGCTACACTTTCCCCTCGTTTTCAGTCGGCAGAGTCTCGAAATATTAATTCGAGAGACGCATAATGACTCAAAAATCTCTGTTTAATTTCAATTTCATCCAGCCTGTTGTACCACTCCCAAACTGGCTCGGTTTGACTGTCCGCATGTTTGTCAAGGCTCCCGTTCCCACCAGGTTTCCTTCTACTCGGCTAAAGGCAGCGTCAAGGTCAGAAAATACCTCAAGGAATAAAAAATTCGAGTACCCTTTTCGAAGCGCCAAGTCTGGTTTGTCGCCTCCCACTTACCCCAAAGCTCGATCGGGGTGCAGGGAGTAGAGTCGCCGTGGTTGGAGAGATCGACGTTCATGTTCGTGTCAGGAACATAGATGCTAAAGTATCTATTTCAATCATCTGTCAAAATGAAGGGGATGCTCAGCATACCGGAAGACAGATTCGTCGTTCTCATCTGGGAGAATTCTCCATGTGAAGGGTTCCTCTGAGATGACGAGTTTGGTGCCATCAAAGTGGTCACCCTCATAGCCGATGTAGGTCCCGCTCTCAGCGTTCTTGAGGTGCCAGTCGTTGTAATCGTCTACCGAGACGAGTTCCCACTGTGATCATGGATCACATCATAAACAATGAAGACGGTCAATGAAGAATTTGGCCTACCTGTTGGTTGGATTCTCCATGTCTGGGATATCCGATAACTGCGACACGATGAAGCGAAGTAGGTTAAGGAGATGGAGGAGGACGTACTGTCTCTATTGTTACCCCCGTCGAGATCGATGGCGGTCTCCCCTTTGACGTTGACGATAACGTAGCGAGCTCCTGCTTCAAGTGACATGGTGACTTGGGGGTATTCCTGGGGCCTGGAGAAGGTTATATACTGACGACTTGAGGCTTCACGGCTCTCCCCGGCAGTACAAAGACAGATCCATCACCGTCTAATCCCAGAGAGAAGACAGATTTGAATCCGCAGTCGTTGGCACGTCATAATTCCTTGGCGAAAGGGTTACTCGGCACGACCTGGCAGGCAGAATAAGGCATAGAGGGAGCTCAAGAAGTCGATGCCTAGATGAACCATGTGAAGGGTTGCGTGAAGGGAAGGAGATCAAGTCACTTGGGTCGTTATCTCGGAGCCAACGTGTCTCTGGAAATAGCTATCGATGGGTGAATATTTGATCAGAATGGCATGTAAGGTGTTCTCGAATAATGGAACTGACCTTGATTTGGAATCATGAGGATCCGACCATTCGATACGACAATGAAAGTCACAATTCGGCAGTTGGGGGTTCTACGCCAAGACGTCAAGATAAAACTTGGCGAACGGAGGTCCTAAAATTCTTCTTGGCTCTTTCCAGTATTGCGTAAATTCTCGGACAATATTTGTGGGCTGGCAAATTCGCATCCGCCCTTGATGATTGCGGTGCGTGACATCCTAGCGCTCGCCCTCAGGGGCTGAGATGGGCGTTAATCAAAAGCGTGGGAACTTTGCATGCAAGGAAAATGTTGTAACTACCCGCTCAAACAAAAGAATGTATCCCACTAGCGAGAACAAAGAATTGAGAGAACCGTCCTGCGACTCTTCGTGTACCACAGCTATCTATTACATACTCGGGCGTTTATTGTTTGCGTATTTTTCATCTTTTCTTCCAAGGATAGGAAGTAGATACTAATGGTAGGTGTTGACTCGGAGGAATTCATGATTGACGCCTGTTTACAACACCCCTCTGGAGTCTGGGTTCATGTGAAACGTAGTAAATTGGACGCGAATACACGCAACTAAAGCACAGGATTATGAATTCCAGGTTGCGAGAGCTGCGAGTTGGATTGAGGGGTATCATCGTAAGACCGAACACTTTGCACCAACTCCAGTACTTGTTATCCCTAAGGAAGGTCAGAATAATATCTTCTTCGCTAACTGCTAACTTACGACGGGCATGGGAAAGAAATCACGCAAAAAATGATTACCCTTGTTTATAAGATATCCCACAGCTCATCATTAATTCGAATTTGTTTTACTTGCGTGCACGCTTCCTTCAGCGCATGAGCAAGTCGCGTGAGTATCTCTTCTTCGTTCTGTTGCCCAACAATTGATTCTTCCCTCTCTAACAAACCAGTGGTGAACTCAATCTTCCGGACTCGAGGAAAGAGGAGATTGAGGTATTGACATAGCGACGTGAGGCGGTGTTGCAGGTTCTCGTTACGATCACCATCGAGATTCCTAAGTCGCAGTGTAGTTACATTGGGAAATGCGATCGCTGGTCTGTCGCCTTTTGTGAATGATGAACCCTCTCGGAAGTGCGCTGTATGAGCAGGAACGCGACCATTGTCTGTTATCTGTGAGGAGCTTCCTCTCGCGAGCTCCTCGATAGCAGCTTCGGTCAAGGGGATCCCATCCTGCATTTTTGAATTATGTTGCCAAACATCCCGAGTCGTCAATTTGGTGATACAGTTAATCACTGGTTCCATATCTCGTGTTTCGACGCCATCTGCATCAAGGACGAATTCGATCTCAGGATGACTTCCCCCTGAGGACCGTCTATTGTCGACTATCCTTTGAAGGAGAGCACTAATCTGAGCGAGCCGTCAATGTAGTTGGCAGGACAGTTGAAACGAAGGCTATGGCAGTGCATGACGAGCATTTACAGCTGGGGAAGGGAAAGCGCCTCCTTATCATTGGCACAGGCATCCTGCCTTCTTGATGCGCCAGCTTCGACGAGAAACCAAATGACTTCAACAGATGCTTCCAAGTACCGAAGACAAGGTTGTTCTGGGAGCACGACCTCTCGAGGAAACCATATTTTTGGGATGCCGCATGAAGGCGGTGCGGGGTTTTGCACAGGGCGTAGTCCCCAGATATTCCAACCAACGATTGGCGCTAGCGTAAGCCGTTCCAACCGTACCAGGCGCGCTATAAATCGGAATAGATCACCTTCATGGAGGTTGGAGTAATTGTGAGCGAGGGTGAAGTCAGTGAGACGGTGGCAAACTGAGTCCTGGATCAAAGGAAGCAGAAATGCGAGCTGTTCCTTTGGCAGGTAATTTAGGTCCCCAAGAGAGAGATACGTCAACGACGATTGTGTATGAAGCAGTGAAAAAGTCCAATTTATGAACGGAGGGCAGAGGAGGACTGGGGAATAAATGGAGAGGGCCTCGAGCGTTGGGTTCTTCTGCATCCTGGAAGGAAAAGGTACAGCTGGACAAGATTTTCCCCTCCACAACATCTGTCTGATTGATGTTTCCAGCGACGCCTCTTCCCAGTCGATCGCTGCGTCGTACTCCACCGTCAAGCACGCACATCCTCTGTCAACAATCGCGTTGAGCAGTTCACCCAAAGCGTCGGACCAATCAGACAGCTTCCATCCGCACGCCTTTCCTCCCATTCGACCGCCGATCAACAAGAAAAATTGCTGCGCTCTGGATCTTCGAAAGGCGGTTTACGAACGATATGAGGTGACGCACGGCATGGGGAAGGTCCGTGGCAAGCTGGAATTCAACTCGTCTAGTGCGTGGCCGGCGTAGTTCTGTGAAGGCCCAGCTCAAGTGGCGAACGGATGTGATGCTGTACGTCGCCGAGTTCAGCCCAGCAAGGGCATCCGGTGGCCCCTTCCGCGTCGGGCTCCACTCCAGCACCTCGAGTGAAACATTATCGATTGGGTCTGTGATATGGTATGATATTACACCGCTTGGACCCATCTCGAGATCTGCGGGAACAGCCCAAGAAAAGAAAAGAAAGAAAGAAAGAAGAAATCTACTTAGCTACTGTGATGCCATGTGTCTTGAGGAAAAGAGGGAGCGCAACGTGGTTGAAGCGCCGACAAACAAGTCCAGTGTTGTAAATATCGTGCTGAGTGAGGGCACCATCGAGCAAAATCTGGATTAGAAGTTCATTTGGAAGACTCATAATCAATGTTTGTTCCGATTCTGGCGGTTTGGTACGAGTGAGCCGGCGCTAATAGTTGAGGTACGCTGCCTTTTTCATCTGCATATTTTGGTCAATCAGTGCCTACGAAGGTCAATGTGCACATACTGAAAGTGTAAGCATTGGCGTTGGTAGTCAGAGATGCCAGCGCTGCAGGGATTGAGTTGTGTGAAACCGGGGGATACCTGGCGCGGAAGCGATTGTAGCGGTACGCGCGCATTCCTGATAAGCACTCTAACTTGCCTCTAATTTACGCTCTTGAGTCCTCAGCTAGATGCAGCGCGAAGATAGTATTTAGCTTGAGGCTAGTCAACAAAACGAGAAGGATCTTCTGTATATAACATCCTCATTCGCTGTTCTTCCCAAAGATTTCCTTCAACCACCTCGAGATCACAAGCACCCAATTTACCCTCCATCCGACCCCACGAAGCGCTGTCTATATACGCCTTTTGCACACAAGGAATTCCCGCCCTCATATAGGACCTGCTAATCTTGCCCAGAATAGACAAGACATCCAGGTCGATATCTGTCACGGCGAGTTCGGTCAGAGCTGAAAAGAGGGTCCTGCTCATAGTCTTTTCCATCCAAAGGTATGTTAAAGATATCTTGGAAACGCTCGCGACGATGAGCTTGCGTACTTGAGGAAAGCACGTAGATGCAATTCGCAGCGCCCACACCCCGGAGTGCGCAGGGGCGAGGGTCAGTGACGATAAGAGTGGAAAAGGGGACTCGGTGCCGACATCAATAACATTCTTGAGCTCAATAAGATCGTCCTCGATGAATGGAGCGATGATGAGCTCTCGCAGCTTGGGCGCCGACAGCGATACGAGAAGTTTGGGCGTTGAGATCACATTGCCCAGTATGAAAAGCGACTCGAGTTGTGGCACTTCGATCGTGCGGTCGAAACCCCCCCAGGAAATCGAAGTGAACATGTCATCATAGATGGCGAGGAAGGTGAGGTGTGGGTACGACGCGAGCGCAATGGCGAACTCTGTAAAGGGGACGCGGGGGAGTTGACAACCGATGTGGAGGGTGGTAATTGTTGCGAGTGGGCTCGAGTACCGCAAGGCAACAGATCCGAAGAAGCAAAGGTCGGCAAGCCTCGGAACCGTCTCCCCATCAAACAGGGATATTGGGCCATCGTCGTCGTGCACGATATCATCCTCGTATGTTCGGTCATGTAACGTGAATTCTTCAAGGTAGGGCATCGGTAAGCCGATAAGCGGCTCGACGAGTTGAAAAATGACCCCCGGAAATAGCCTTCGATAATCAGGCTCCGGCACCTGGAATAATGAGGAGAAACGACTCTGCGAAGCTCAACATAGTCTTGAAGTAAAAGAATCACCGCTCCTATTTCCGGCTCACTAAAATCTTTGCAAGAAGAGATCCGAACATCGAGGGGATGCTGTTTCGATCGTTCCAAACACATCTGTACGGCGGATATCTTTGAATTCCATGGAGGAGTCACTGTGATGGATGACCACAGGAAAGGATCGTTGAGGGCCACCTCCCTCCATAGGCGGGATACTGACGAGGCGACGACGGGGATGTTTTTATTGCGGTCATGTCGATGATAGGCGATGTCAAAAATGAGAGCTAGTAGTTCTGGTGGAAGAATGGTCCTTGCCTCCATCCAGCGAACGTGGAGAGTTTTCCACGCTTTTTGCCAGTGCCATAGCTAAGTATTGCGATAGGTGGACATTGTTCTATCGCAATCAGAAGTGAATCATCCGAGTCTGAAGATCTGAAGATCTGAAGGCTCAAACTTCTTTCAGTGACTGAGGGCCAAGATGAGCGTGGAGTGTGTAGGAGAGAGAGGTAGGCTACGATGCGATTACGGTCCCACTCTGTGATTAGATTAGATAAGGACACGGTACTTACGCGTAGCCACTTGTCTCTTTGTTCTCCAGCTCACTCTTGTACGATGACAGAGGCAACGACACACATTAGCATTACAGTCCCTAACGAGAGGCTACAAGACATTTCCCTCACACGATCCGACCCCATACTCATCATCATCCAGACTTCACTTATTCTACATTCCGTGTATCATACAGCCTTGGCCTTTATCCATCCGAACTCATACCGACTTACTGTCATTCACTTGGAGCCCACTGCTGCCTCTGTCGTCGTACAAGAGTGAGCTGGAGAACAAAGAGACAAGTGGCTACGCGTAAGTACCGTGTCCTTATCTAATCTAATCACAGAGTGGGACCGTAATCGCATCGTAGCCTACCTCTCTCTCCTACATCTCCCCCTCACTTTGAAAATCAACCATCCCTGGTTGCAAACATTGCGAAGAAAAGCAAAAAAAGGGAAACACGAAGAGATTGGAAGCTACTTGCACTTTTTCCTTGATGCCTTCTTCCTCGATCTCTCGTCTTCTGAACTGCTCGGTATCCATCCTCTTTTTAGTTTTCTTGTTCGTCTTCTTCTTTTTCCTCCATCGGCACTCGTCATCACTATCGCTTTCCTGCTTCCTCCGTCATCGTCTTGCTTTCTCCTTCTTCCTCTTCTCATCCTCGCTATCCTCCTCGCTCTCATCACTGTCCTTCCTCCTCCTAGCTTGTCTCTGATCCTTCTTCTTCCTTGCTTTCCTTCTCGCCCATTCCTCATTGCTCGACTCGCTATCACTCTCATCACTCTCCTCCTCGCTACTCTCCAGGTCTAACATCTCCACCCGCCTCATCTCCAGCATTGTGGTCGTAGTTGTAGTATCGGTGTGCAGCTGTACAGGTGTGTACGAAGTCGTGGTTGTAAGGATCTGCGGCGAAAGAGAAATCAGTATAGGGACTGTTGTAATGGCGATCATCAAATCTACTGGCGTTGGCTTTGCTAATTTGGTTCGTACGTCGTCTAGGATTATCGGAATTCCTCGTGGAACTGAAGTCTTCTTCATTTTCTTTGTCTTCTTGCGTCGAGTCATCGGCTGTGATGTGTCTTGGGGTTTTGGTGGATTAGAAAGATCGGAACGAGGCGTTTCATAGTTGACTAGTTGGTGTCAGAGTTATATGCGGTAAGCTCTCGAGAACATCGCATGATAGTACAAGATACCGGTACTGTGCGTCGTGAAAAGCTTGCTGCCATATCGCGTTGTGAAGGTCCATTGGGTTGACAGCCTTGAGTGTACCTCGTCCCTGGAGAAGCTCGAAGAAGATGGTCTCGTAGCAGTGGATGTAGCGTCGTTCAATCTCGAGCTCGAATGCATAGCGGTCGTCGGAGCGGTCGACAGTGAGAGACGCGCCAGACTTGGCACGAGAGAATATGGCGCGCAGGGTCTTGCGGGTACACCAGACTCTGAAAGTGCTGCCGAAACCATGCATGAAGATCTCGACGGTCGGTCCAAAAGACTCGCGTTGGCGTGGCTGTTCTGATCGGATGCGCGATGATCGATAAGGACGTCGTTCACGGAAAACGATGCGTGGCATGCAGAAATAAAGCATACTGGGGTGTCCGTGATGTTGATGCGTAGCCATCTGATGAAAATGGATAAAGGCGGGTTGTGGAAAAAGGGTGTAAGGTTTTGGGGCTCGGGCAGGCGGGTTCGAGCAAAACAAGGTTCTGCAAGTGGTGGGCTCCAATATGAAAGGATGATGGTGAGTATGGGGTCGGATTGTGTGAGGGAAATGTCTTGTAGCCTCTCGTTAGGGACTGTAATGCTAATGTGTGTCGTTGCCTCTGTCATCGTACAAGAGTGAGCTGGAGAACAAAGAGACAAGTGGCTACGCATAAGTACCGTGTCCTTATCTAATCTAATCACAGAGTGGGACCGTAATCGCATCGTAGCCTACCTCTCTCTCCTACATCTCCCTCCTACATCTCCCCCTCACTTTAAAAATCAACCATCCCTGGTTGCCAACCACCCCAGTCCCCAAAACACTCAAACCTCCTCCAACTCCGTCACCTTCACTACCTTCCTGCCATGAGGGTAATAAGGAATCAACCGAAACACAGCATACTTCAACTTTGACACAGCCCCATTCAGCTTGGCAAGGCGATATGAACCACCTTCAGAGTGCCTGATGACAACCATGGGACCATAATAGCAAGGTTTACCCTTTCGGCCAACATCAAGTTCGATTTTCTTGTTCAACACCAGCATGAATTGATCAAGATGTTCTCGTGTCGCTTTTCGAACTCGGCAGCTGAAGCAAAGCGAGCCTTCAAAACATGTTTCTGCATGGCTGCGATGTCGTCGTCTCGTCATTCAAGCTGTTGTCCACGCATAGCAAGCAACTCGACCTTGGTGATGAGGGATTTCATTGGTGGTAGAAGGAACGTTGCATGGGTGATGTCGAACGGTAAGAGAGGTTCCACTCCATGCACTGCATAGTAAGGTGAAAACCCTGTAGATTTCCTCATCGTAATGCGCTCTGCCCAGAAGACGTATGGCAGGCGTTCGTGCCACTTTCGAATATCACCGTCGCTGGATTTGATGAGTGCGCTGCAGACTGGCTGGTGAGCAGCCTCGACGGTGCCATTCGCCCTCGAGTTGTAACCTGAAATCTGAATGTGGCTGACATTGTACTTCCCCTCTAGCCACGCCAATGCCTTGACAAAAGGAGTCCCATTGTCCGTCACCATCTCCAACACTGACCCCCACCTCGTCATGATCTTCTCCAACAAAAACCTTCCTATCGCTTTATGGTTCTCTTTCCTCAACATCTCAAACTCTGGCCAACCTGACAAGTTATCATGTGCTTGGACGACATATTTGTAGCCTCCGGACTTCGGCAGATGCATTGTGTCAATGTGACATTTTTGGAACAATCCCGGCGGACTTATCACGGTAGGTGGGAGCAACACGGCTTGCTGCGACATTAATTGACACTCGTGGCATGTATCCAGAAACCACTTGATGTCTGCATCCATAGTTGGCCAGTAGAAGTGTGTTGCTACCTGTTGTCTCGTTGGATAGAAGCGCTTGTGGCCGAGTTCATCATGAGCTGTCTTCAGCACCGGTAGGCGATCCTGTTCAAATAGCACAACACGATGCTGTCCGTCGCATTCTCGGTACCATAGTCGGCCTCCAGCCAAGAAGAAACATGAAGCTCTCTTGAAGAATTTGCATAGGCCTTTGGCATCCAAGCCCGCAGGCGGTTTCAGCGTCGACAAATACTTTTCCACCTTCCGTAAGTCTTCGTCCTTCTTTCTCCCAACATCATTCACTGGCAGCTCCCCTTCATCAGTTGCCTCCACGCACTTCCTCCCATAAGCCAGAACCAAACCCTTCGCCCCAATTCTCTTGTTTCCCACTTCAAACACCCCTGACTCCAAGCTTGAAGCCACCCACACACCACACATCAAAATTTCCTCCACCCACTTGTCAGCGCTCTCGCCCTCATTCTTGACGCAGTCATCATCATCCGCTCCTCTTCTTCTTGATAACCCATCAGGTCCTCTGAAAAATTTCCCCGGAACGTGGACAAGTTTGAAGTCGAACATCAAAATCGCAGCTATCCACCGGTTCATGGCAGCATTGGGATGCATATCTGGGTTGTTGATCATGCCCTTGATGTACTTCGCATCGACCTCTACAGTCAGGTTTTGGATGCCAATAATGTAAATCTTGACAGCGTGCAGTGAACGGAACAAGCCATAGAGCTCGATTTTTGCCTGTGAGTACTTCGCCTCGCGTTCGTTCAGTGTCATTGAACCAAATCGCGCAGGGCGTCGTCGTCCTTTATCATCAAGTTGAGCAAGAATATACCCGATTGTGATCACGGATGAGTCAACGGAGAGGATAACCTCTAAGTTGGAGGTGTAGTCGATGGGCCGAATTGCAGGGCACATTGTGACGGCATGCTTCAAGGTATCCATTGCTTTCTGTTCATCTTCCCCCCACACAAACTCAACATCTTTCTTTGTCAGCTTCACCAAAGGCAAAGCCTTCTCTGCGAAGCCTTCTACCCACTTCCTCACAACACCCGCGACCCCCAAGAAACGTTCACACACACCGCC